TCTTTGACCTCTAATTTTCTCTCTTCATTAAGATAGAAAAGGCAGAACGAAAACAATGGAGAGTGATAGGAAATGATGATGCACATTTTGGCAGTTCCCGGCTAGTAGGTGATTCGGATGCCTAGTTGAATAATCCCTACCTGGAATGTGGTATGAATGCCTATTTGAATGGTTCCTACTTGAAATGTGGCTTGAATGCTTAGCTTAATGGTGACGATGCCTAACTGAATGGTGACGAGCTAGAGACATGGCTATGATGTCCAGCTGAGTGGTGACGAGCTGGAGAGGTGGCTCTGATGCCTAACTGAATGGTGAGGAGCTAGAGAGATGGCTATGATGTCTAGCTGAGTGATGACGAGCTGGAGAGGTGGCTCTGATGCCTACCTAAATGGTGACGAGCTGGAGAAGTGGCTCTGATGTCTGAGTGGTGACGAGTTGGAGAAGTGGCTTTGCTATCTAGATGAATGGTGACGAGCTGGAGAGGTGACTCTGATGCCTAACTAAATGGTGACGAGCTGGAGAGGTGGCTCTGATGCCTAACTAAATGATGACGAGCTGGAGAGGTGGCTCTGATGTCTAGCTGAGTGGTGACGAGCTGGAGAGGTGGCTTTGATGCCTAGCTAAATGGTGATGAGCTGGAGAGGTGAATCTGATGCCTAACTGAATGGTGACGAACTTGAGAGATGGATCTATTGCCTAGCTGAATGGTGACGAGCTGGAGAGGTGGCTCTGTTGCCTAGCTGAGTGGTGACGAGCTGGAGAGGTGACTCTGATGCGACCTGCAAGGAAACAATGTCAGAGTGCCTGGGTTGCTTTACTTGGGTTGGGCACTCCAATGCTTAAGTTAGCGAATCAGAGATTTTAAGATAGCCAAATGTTAGGGAGCTGGAGAGCTGCGAGAACTAAATTGCGCATCTCCCTCTTGGAGTTGGAGGTAAGGCCTTTATATAGGCATTGTTTGGCGTGAGTATCATGCAACACGTCCGGGATCTTCGGGAGGACTTGCCTAACTGCTCCGAAGTTCTCGGAGGTAGTCGTGCACGTAGGCCAATCTTTGCGCCTTACTTGGTTTCTCCCAAAACATTCGGTGTGAGATCTGACTTCCGAGAGACCTATGAGTGATGGGATGCATGTAGAAGTCAACGGCGAGCACGTCTCGTAGGTCGCTAGTTTCGCCACCTGGACCTCAATCAGGTCAGCAAACCCTTGAGGGAGGTTACTCCCCACGTCGAGGTCGCTTCAGCCGATACTGGCGAGGTACCACAGGTCGGCCCTGGACGAGGTGATGCTAGCCACCCTGAGTCGTGGACGAGGTCGCTAGCTAGGTTTCTACCAAGTCGGCGGTGGAGGCAGGTCGCTAGGCCGGCGACAGTGCCAGGTTGCTAGCTGGGACTCCATCATTTTGGCTAAGGCAAGTTGTCACCTGGGTGGTTACGGGTGTCACCCAATTGTTTTAAGATGCCATGTGTCATGATGTTAGTGGAGGGCCAAATCTGCCCTCATCAAATGCCCCCCTACTCCCGAGCTGAGATCAGCTCAATGAAGGGAGTAGATTTGTGCCTCGTTGTAGGTCCTTAGGCCTATTACCAACATATTTTCAGGTCGGCTTAGGGGTCCTTCAGGCTGAAAGCGGTTTCACTTCCCCTTGTTATGTGTGTTGATGTTGGAATTTAAATAGCGGGTCAATGTTACGGTTGACCTGCGAGGGTGGCTCCACAACCTGTTCGTCATTAACTCCCACGTAAAGCATGGAGGGCTCAATCTGCGGCGCGACCTCATAGTTTGTTGGCTATCAACTCCCACGAGAACCACGGAGGGCTTGACCTGTGCGGTGGCCTCACATTCTATTGGCCATCAACTCTCGCAGAGAGCACACAGAGCTCGACATATGGGAGTGGCCTCACAGTTGGGGAGATTCTGTCCGGGCAAGACTACGAGAACTCACTTGGATTAATCACTTTGCTTCTGCCCCCCTAGGGGGTTCTTTCGATCAAGCGCTATTGTTGTTGCTTGAAGATGTTATTACTTGAGGCTCAGAGAATTGGGTGAGGACATAGCCTTTTGTAACGTTTCCCGTAGACAGCTCTAATTGATGATGTGCATTTTGGCAGCTCCCGGCTAGTAGGTGACTCGGATGCCTGGCTGAATAATCCCTACCTGGAATGTGGTATGGTGGTTTTGATGCCTAGCTGAATGATGACGAGCTGGAAAAGTGTCTTTGATGCCTAATTGAGTGGTGACGAGTTGGAGAAGTGGCTTTGATGCCTAATTGAGTGGTAACGAGCTGGAAAGGTGGCTCTGATGCCTAACTAAGTGGTGACAAGATGCCTAACTAAGTGGTGACAAGCTGGAAAGGTGGCTCTGATGCCTAGCTAAAATGGTGACGAGTTGGAGAGGTGGCTCTAATGCCTAACTGAATGGTGACGAGCTAGAGAGATGGCTCTGATGTCTAGCTGAGTGGTGACGAGCTGGGGAGGTGGCTCTGATGCCTAGCTAAATGGTGACGAGCTGGAGAGGTGGCTCTGATGTCTGAGTGGTGACAAGTTGGAGAAGTGCCTTTGATGTCTAGCTGAATGGTGACGAGTTGGAGAGGTGGCTCTGATGCCTAGCTAAATGGTGACGAGCTGGAGATGTGGCTCTGATGTCTAGCTAAATGGTGATGAGCTGGAGAGGTAGCTCTGATGCCTAACTGAATGGTGACGAGCTAGAGAGATGGCTTTGGTGTCTAGCTGAGTGGTGATAAGCTGGAGAGGTGGATCTAATGCCTAGCTAAATGGTGACGAACTGGAGAAGTGGCTCTGATGTCTAACTGAGTGGTGACGAGTTGGAGAAGTGGCTCTGATGTCTAGCTGAATGGTGACGAGCTGGAGAGGTGGATCTGTTGCCTAGTTGAGTGTTGACGAGCTGGAGAAGTGGCTCTGATGTCTAACTGAGTTGTGACGAGTTGGAGAAGTGGCTCTGATGTCTAGCTGAATGGTGACGAGTTGGAGAGGTGGATCTGTTGCCTAGCTGAGTGTTGACGAGCTGGAGAGGTGGCTCTGATGCGACCTCTAAGGAAACAATGTCAGAGTGCCCAGGTTGCTTTACCCGGGGTGGGCACTTCGATGCTTAAGTTAGTGAATCAGAGATTTTAAGATAGCCAAATGTGAGAGAGCTGGTGAGTTGCGAGAACTAAATTGCGCATCTCCCCCCTAGAGTTGGAGGCAAGGCCTTTATATAGGCATTGTTTGGCGTGAGCATCATGCAACACATTCGGTATCTCCAGGAAGACATGCCTAACTACTCTGAAGTCCTCGGAGGTAGTCGTGCACGTAGGCCAATCTTTGCGCCTTACTCGATTTCTCCCAAAACATTTGGTGTGATAGCTGACTTCCGAGAGACCTGGGAGTGATGGGATGCATGTAGAAATCAACAGCGAGCACGTCTCGTAAGTCCCCACCTGGACCTCAATCAGGTCGGCAAGCCTTTGAGGGAGGTCACTCTCCACTTTGAGGTCGCTTCAGCCGATATTGACGATGTACCACAAGTCGGCCCTGGACCAGGTGCTGCTAGCTACCGAGTCGTGGACGAGGTCGCTGGCTAGGTTTCTACCAAGTCAGCGGAGGTAGGTTGCTAGGTCAGCGCTAGAGGCAGGTCGCCAGGTTGACACCAAAGGCAGGTCGCCAAGTCGGCACTAGAGGTAGGTCACTAGGTTGGCGATAGTGCCAGGTCGCTAGCTAGAACTCATCATTTTGGCTAAGACAAGTTATCGCCTAGGTGGTTCTGGGTGTCCCTCATTTGTTTCGAAATGCTACGTGTCATGATGTTAGTGGAGAACTAAATCTACCCTCATCAGGAAACAAAACTGTCCGAAAATAAGATTTCTCATTTTCTTGATAACCAAAAGAAGATAAGAGAACCAAGTTAATGAAAACGCCAATGGGAGAAATACTTCTCCAAGAATATTTCATATAAAAAGAAAGTATGATATAAGTAACAAATTTGGGTTCATGATATAGTTGGGACGAGGCATTATCGAGTTGAGAACTTGAGATGGGATCCCAACTTTTGTACGAATACCAGTTTTTTATGCCCCCTTTTTTTTATTCATGATATTCTGAACTTCTGCAACAAATAAACAAGAATCTCTCTCTCTAGTTGCGTTTTCTTAAACAATAGTTTGTAAAGCTTCGTAATATGTTATTTTAATCTGCAAAATAGTCGTGCGATCCTGAGATTGATGATACTTTATTGAATGAACGCCATGAAGAGAAGGTTCAATATATCTCTGTCAACATTTACGTATACTTTGGCTATATCAAGAAGCAGAGTCAGATTTCTYAGAAGGAAGAAGAAGAAAAAGACTCTGACATGGGTTTAGATTAATATGGTTTTTTGTTTAATAACCATGATGTCACTTTAGATTTTATGAAACCCATAATTTGATCTGGGTCTCCAATCCATGTGACACTACTGTTACCATGTATTAGATTAAGATTGAGGATTCTGCTTGCTCTGTGACAGTAACCGTAGTTCTGTTGGATTCTTTAAACTACTTCAAAACAGTCGTATTTATCATGTAGATGGAACATTAATAAGAAGTGTTGATATTGCAGATTGAAGCATCGGRGGCTTGATTGGAGTGGGCTGTACCAGCATGGAGACTGCTTTTTGGCTCATCAAAATTGATCCTTCTTCATGGGACCAGCCTCTGTTTAACTAAGACAGGAAGATAGTTGTAATGCTCTGCTTTAGGCTAGTTATTTGGACTATACCATAAACCTGTGTTTAATATATTAATATACCCTTGAAAGCTAAAGAGGAGAGAGAGAGAGAGTTCATAGCCATAGCCAAACAACATTTGTATCAAAGCATACAAATTAATAATAAAGTGTTTGAAAATTCAGCTTTCTGTATCTGTACCAAAACATACAAATTAATAATAAAGTTTGAAAATTCAGCTTTCTGTAGCCATAGCCAATCACTGCACTACTTTCTCTTTCTCCTTCTGTCGTTTTTTCCTAAGCTGGATGGAGTTTATAGCCATAGCCAAAACCTGTAAACCAAACAACTTTCTAAATGAGTTTTTAATAGCCATTGCATAATAAAAATGTTGAATTCAGTTCTAAGTGTGACACTCCAACACCTGATGACGGTGGCCGGAGCGATCGCCGGTGCCGGAGAAGGAGGTGGAAGAGGGTAAAAAAAGTCAAAGAAAAATAAAACATCAAAGAGGGTTTAATGAAAAAAATCAAAGCCCCAGACAAAGAACAAGGGTTAGAGTTTACCTGTGACCGAAGCGTTCGCCGGTATCGGAGATGGGAGCGGAGATCCGAGCTCGGGCAGAGAACGGGGGTCAGAGCCTCTCCTCCGATTTGAGCTTCAGGAGGGGCGCGAATATGGGAAAAGAGCTTCGGGGGCGCGTTCCAGCACTTTTGAGTTGGTTTTGGGGCTAACTGGCGGGGCTAACGTCTGTCACGTTAGCGTCGCACGCGGAAACGCCCCACCGTGTGCGACTGGACAGGTGTCAGTAGCACATCGTATGAGGCGAAGCACGGTGGGGCGGTGATGCGAACTCAAAACAACATTAGTTGGGTTCTTGTTGATATCAGAGAAAAGCCTACGTAGTAGGTCCGTTTCACAAGGCCAACACTCAGCCCCATCCTAAAGAGTAAGGGTGTTAATGGATTGGAATCCGTCCAGTCCAAAATCAATTTGGATGGATTGGACGGATCAATAAGACATATTAAATTGGATCAAACCGGTCCGAAATATTTATTAGATTGGATTGGACTTGGTCCGCTCATAATAAATTTATATTGGATTGGGTTAGATTAAGCTAATATCTGGTCCATTGATGCAAGATAAGAGTATAGATGTCAATAGACCGGGTTTGGGTTGAAACCAATGTAAATCAAAATGATATTGAAGAGATTAGACGGTCCAAACATTGAATTGGACCAGTCCAAATTGGTCCAAAATATTCATTGGATTAGATTGGACCTTGTTCCATTTATAATGAACTCATATTGGACTGGATTGGACCGAATCAAATCCATTCCAATTGACACCCCTACTAAAGAATAAAGGTCCAAACCCTGTTTTCCATGCCAACTGACATGGTGTTTGGAAGCGTGGGCGCTTTTTGGGACCGATTTTCAAGAAAAACCACCCATGCTTCCAGGACCCGTTTTTCACAAAAAAATGCTTCTACCACGTAGGCAGTGAGCAACATTATGCTGTTTGGTAAGGTGATTTTCATCATCGTTTTTCATGCATCAGTGGGGTCCCGATTTTCAAGGCATGCCCATTTTTTTAATAATTGGTTGAACCAAACAATGAGATACATGGGCATTTATTGAAACGCCTATGTAAATCCGATGTGGCATTATTTTTTTTGAAAAACGGCCACGGTTCCAAACATCCCCTGAGTGGTGACTCACTTGGCATGTTAGCTAAATAATCCCAGCAAAGACGCAAATTGAGTTCCTCTATTTCCACCTATGTTGAAAAATTAGTGTATTGTGTTATTAAAAAAAACCATACTCCCCTCCTTTTCGAAAAAAAAAAGAATAATCAATCATAAACAGTTTATATATATATATATATAAACCTCTTTGCTTCCCTCATTTTCTATGCATTTAAAGCAAAACAAAATAAGTAGCTTATATAATTGGCTCGCTAGGGCCAAGGGCACCATGGGCAGGCTAGACCGGTTCTGCAGCTAAACCTGTTCTATCACTTGGCCGTAAGCCTAAAGCCCATCCCAACCAAGCAGATGACCAGCTCAAGCCCCGTTCTATTAAACCCCCACCCACCAAGTTGAGTGATGGAGGGTGATTTGGTCCGACTTCATAATGAGGGGACACGTGGATGTGACTCGACATAAGTGACAACTCAGCTTAACGAGCTCGTTCCAACTTAGCGTAACGAGCTTGCTATAACCCTACCTGACAGCTCGCCACGAATGGCAGCTCGCTACAAGATAATACTCTGTTGCTCCGAACTAAGACTCTCCCAAGTAGGGAGCACCCCGTGCTAAGATTCTCCTAAGTAGGGAGCATCCTGAACTGAAGACACTTCGGGTTAAGCTTGTCAGCTCCCTAGCTAGAATAAACTCACTCCTGTCCAAACCTAAGTAGGCCACCTCGGAGACCTGCCTCGGATAGAAGCACCTCGGCATATCACCAGCAGCTCGGTGTAAGGTAGCTTAAGGCAGAGTAGCTCGGCGTATCGCAGGGGGTTCCTGCCTGACAACCATACCTGCCAACCCTGGAGGCTGTTTTTTTTGTCTGGCAGGACCGTACTCTGCAACGATCACCTTCGCGCACCAGCTCAACTCTGACAAATAACGGCCAGCCACTCCAAGCCGTTATCTGATAGCAGATCGCCGCAGTAGAGATTCAGAAGTGGTTGTACCTGACATGTCAGGATACTAGTATATAAGGACCTCGACCCCCAGAGGCGAAGGTATTGCGTGATCATCACTCTAGCTCTTTAATTTCTCTGCAACTCTCTCTCTCTCTCTCTCTCTCTCTCTCCCAGCTTTCAATCTGGTTAGTAACTTAACCATCGGAGTGTTCCCACCAGGTTCCTTCATCTTCTTCCTCACAGGTATCTCTCGTTCGTCGGCAACTAGGAGCGTAGCCTCTTCCAGTTAAGAGTGACCAGATCGTGCACCATCATTGAGCGTTGAGCCAGATTGCACTGGATCATTGGGTTGATCAAGGTTGTGAATTTCCTACTTATATATATATATATATATATATATATATATATATATATATTCAATTTTTTATTTTATAATTTTATTCTTTGGGTGGGTTCAGGTAATTCAAGCCCAACTGAGATGTGCGTTTCCTACTTACAAACATAAATAAAAAATGGAGAATGACCGATAACCCCAAAGATCAGAATTTATAAGCTCAAAATATATTTGGGGTAGGTGCCAGCTTGGAATTGATGCCAATTCAATAAATGAATTACATTTTTGATGTGAAGGCAGCACAAGTATCGGACCGATACAGTAAAGTGGGGATGATCCAAATCCAATATGGTTGAATAAGGGATAGATAAAATATATAATTGATATCGAAGAGGCTTTAAACATGTTGGCATAATTTATAAGAGGGTAATGCACAATTGCACATTACTAGCTAGGGGAGGTCACTCCCTATTGTAAGATTCTCTGTCCGGTGCCTACTGAAAGAGAGCACCATAGTGTCTGTATATAAAGGGGCACCGTGGTCTCATCTCATACTTTGTGGATAGCAGTGTGACACTTTAACCCCCTGCAGTCTGCACTTTATTTTTTGTGGCATTTAACTATTTTGTGCTTGTTTGTAATACTTGCATGATATTCATGCATCACCTTTCCATCCAAGAAATACATCCATACCTCGTTTGCCTTGTTTGTCCTTCCCCAAGATATGTGTAATTCTATCTTCTTTTTCTTTTCTTTTGTTTTGTTTGAGTTGGGTGCGTGGGTGAAGTGGTTTTAGGAACAGATTCTTGTATCTTGGTTCGAGGCAAGGCTCCCTTGTGGTGATTGTTCTTTTTAGGGAAAAAGCCCTAGAATTCCTTTCTCTTGTTTTATGAAATTATTTTGTCAACTTTCCATGTATTATAATTAAAGAAACATATTTCTAATCAGCCATGATCAAACTTCTAACCAAAGATTAGGGTCATTGAACTTGTGACTCAAAATCAATCAACTAATTTTGAATATCCAAGCGATATACAATGATTTCAAGTATTCTCGGCCATAGAAATGACCAAATGGGATACTAAACAATGTGAATCACTCAAATTCTTGATAACTGCATGCCATGCATAAAGATTTTCCAAATTAACTCAAAGATTAATGGTCTTTTGAGATTGGTGTATTATCTAAACCATCATAGTAATATACCAAGGTTCAAATAACCTATTGGCCAAATGTACCAAATCAAGCCAAAAGTTTAGGCTATCAAAATAGATTCCTAACATCAAAGAATCAACTTGGCAATTAAAGTAATATACCAGATTTCAATTATGCTCAACCATTCAAATAATGCACCAAAATTTCAACAATGTCTGAGCTAAATAAATTCAAGCTCTAGACTTCAAAACGAGTTCAACTACTCTAACCTGTCCAAATAATTTCAGAAGTTAATCCCCAAATCCAGGCCATCTAGATAATATGTATTACATCAACAAAAAAAAAAAAAAAAAAAATTAAAGGCTCATTTGATTTGTGGTAATAGGGGTCTAGGATCAGAGTTGGAATAGCCCATTCTTGTTGAAATGGCATTCCCCCATTTGAGGGAATGGCCATTCCCTTCTCCTCTCTTGTGAAAGAAATTCCATTCCAGTTTATTCTAATTCTAATTCCAATTCCTATCTGAACCAAAAATACTATGGGAATAAATCATTTTAATTCCATTTTCAAGGGATTTTAATTATAATTTCAGTTCTGGTTCTGAATGCAAACCAAATGGACCCTAAATTGTCTAAAACAAAGGATTAATCTTGGCTATCCAACCAATGTACCTAGGTTTCAACCTTTGGCTATTCAAGTATTTTGGAGACTTGGATCATATGCGCCTACACTAGGGTTGGGGATGGGCTGCCCTCCCCACCCTTTGTGTAGCCCCATCTAACTCAAAAAGAAAAAGTAATTATTTGGAATTTCAAAAGAATAAAAAATAAGTCTGCCAAATGAATTTAAGATGTAGAACATGAAAATGGCCTTTTTAAGACTAGCCGACGAATGTTGGTAATCCAACTAATGTACCACTTCAACAGCCACTACCATTGTCCTTTGCATTGCCATCACTCTCAGCTCTTCCGATCCCATCAAGGCCAACAAACCAACTTTCATGAAAGTGCCAGCTAGCCTGCACCAGTCTATAGTTAGTTGCCTGGTTGTAGTGGAGGTCAAGTCCCACCCTCAATCGAATTGGGGGGAGAGCAAGATACCCACCCCCCGGGTCTCTCTCTCTCTCTCTCCTCATTAAGAAAGGTTACATAATTAAGCTGGTATACATGATCTTTACAGTTTATATATGCTTATTAACCAAAAAGCTTAAGATAGTGTTCAGTTTTTGTTTTCATCCATAATATGTCGTGGATCAATCCCATCAAAATTCCAAAATCTTCGCCATGGGCTTTTCTTGTGGATGAGGCCCAGCCACATCGTTTTTTTTTTTTTTAATTATTAACCCTTTATTTAAATTTTAATGAGTTTTTATTATTAAATAAATTCATATTTGATATGTTTTATCCTCCAATATTTGTTATATATGACTTTTATATTTTTATATTTATTAATAAATACATATTGCTGTTTTATTTTAACCAGAGGTATTCTGTATTTTATTATTTATCTTATTTATAAAATATAATAACTTTTGTTATACTTGATTGACTGCATATATTATCTCACATGTTATATGTTAGATGTATA